AATTCCTTGGGTCACAAAAACATCTATAAAAAGATACCCTGATAGATTTACACATAATCTCATATTTCAATGTCATTCACATGAAATTTTGTTAAAACTTAAATGATTATTTTCAGAAAAAATAGACAAAGCTTCTGTGTCTACTTCAGTTTAGTAGATATTGTATATCAGGTAAATGTAGATGAACTGTTTATGTCTTTATATTTTTCATTTGAACAAGAATTTTCATCGTCAGCTGCTAATCAGAAACTTATCAGTTGTTTAAATAAACAACGATGAACAGGAAGCAAAATAGTATAATTAGGTCTCCCATTGTACATAATCTCTTTAAGCTATTCAGCTATAATCTATTGGTTGGAATGTTCTCACATTAGTTAACTGTTGAAAAATCACGACCACCAATAAATATCACTAAAAAGTGCTGAGACTAGTTTTTCACCATCATCTCTACAAACGCAAGATTAAAGCATAATCGAACTATCATTGGTGATTAGCTTTGAGATAGGTGTCAAGTCAAAATGATTTAATTAACTACTGAATAATCAGAGGTAGTTGTTTCAATTCACAAAGCAAGCTACATTTTGTTATGTTAAGTTTAGCTAACATATTCTTATTTATATTGAAGTTCTCATTATTGTGTTTGTTTGAATTATGGCATGTATTCACATTATGTGTACAACGAATTTAGCTATGCAAAAGTTGGTTTAATGATATTTAGTTTCTGGTTTACTTCGTATCAATCATCTCTGAGTTAAACTTTTAATTTTCTAATCATCGGAATACAAGTGGTCTAATTTTTTTTCCAGAGAGAGCATCATCATTAACATAATTATAGACATTCAGTTCACGCAAATAGCTTGGATTTCACCAGTAGACTAGTAAATTGCAATCAACGATTATAGCCCTGATGACGTCGTTTCACACTAGATTGTTTGTTATCGTCATCCATTTCACAACATAAAGTCCAGTCACGGAATGTAACCTTGTTAAAAAAAGACATTTTTACATGACTCAAACTGAAATGAAATATACATTTTACACGCCGTTTAAAAACTCATAAGCAGTCTTCATTCAGTATTGTTTGGATAGTTCTATGTAGCTTACTGTTCTGTAAAGTTCAATATGAGTTTTATAACAATTTTGATTGCTTTTGAAATACCACCGACGATTATTCATTTAAACATATTCATCGTTCACATTACTTAGCAGTATTGTGACCTAAGGACTATTTATTTCTGTTTCTAAGATTCTCACGTTTCACATTATCAAAATGTTTACTTTCTAAACTCCATTTTCTTGACAGACGACACGCTAAATATTTTCTAATTTTTTCTAATAAATGAATCGAATCGGTAACACGTCTATTTATGGTAGTATGGAAAGGAAATAAATACGAAATCTATCCAACATATGTTGAGATTTGTTGGGGATGTTAGATCCCCAGAACTCACTTGGTAAATACCTTAATTATATAGTTTTATTTTGGAAATTTAAATTTCCTTGTTTTTGCACCAAAGCGCACTTTTCACCTTCATGTCGTATTTAGATGAGCGTGTGTGTGCACATTTCTCATCCTATTCATCACATGTCTGTCACTTATTTTTGTCTGACTATAAATATTGATTAACGGTTTGTTAAACGGAGTTGGTGCACAAGCCTTCTCCACTGTGTGATATTTCGCTTCGCTCTCTTCTCTTCGCTTCTCCGATATTTTATCTGGATCAAAGATTGTATGAAATATACGTATTCGAAATTCATTCTCGTATTTGACTTATTCAATTTCCTTATTGACTAACGCGATTTAAGTCGATGATTATGTACGAGGATAGGCGACATAAACTTTTCGACAGCAATCATTCATACGATCTCCTTGGAGTCAGATCCCAGGCCACTAAAGTGGTGAGCCCGATCCAAATGACGAGAAAATAAAGTGCCCCACTAAAAAGTATCTGCGAGAATTCGACCGACAAAGTTTCATATGGGCTAAGCAAATTCAAATGCAATGGACTGTCACTTTCCAACTTTTGTGATAATATGAAAAAAATAGATTCTCTCGCTTTTTAAGAATTTTCCATAATAAAAATTTTAAATACACATTAACTTTCCTTTTGGTATAATTACAATTTTAAGCTCGTTAGTTTATGCTTAAAATTTGCAACCTGTGTTATTTGTATAAAGGAATCTACATTTTGTGGTCGGAGAAATCGCCGGTAAGCGTCACTTCATTTACCTAGACTCTTATTAGTTATCATAAATCATCGACCACATCAATATTACCTCTAGGTCTCGGTTACAACGTCATTGTGACCATTCATTGTAAATTGATTCGTTTCATTTGTATCCACTAAGATTATTGAAATCGGTTTCATATATTCTTCCTATATCAAAGTGAATTAATTTTTATTTTGGATCTTGAGAATTCGACAAAATAATTTCGGGCACCGTATTGTACAGAACACACTTCACTTTCATGTTTATCAGTTATTGAAAATAAGATCAGTGGACCAATGATTGCAAACAGAAAAATTTATAGCAACCATGATTTTCTATAGTGTGATTGATATAGTGGACCAATCAGAAATCCCGTGAATAATTGAACGCTGATCAACAATTATGTTATGCTCGAAGAAAACATCAATAATATGAATCAGAAATAGACAAACAGACCGAGGTACAAGTGAAATCTCAGGTTTAAAATGGCTGTTTACAACCATCCTGAACAAAGATCGATGGGTTTACATGTAATTAGAATGTCAGAAAATATTGACTGAACCACAACACATGATTGTGATTAAAGTCTCACCTAGGATCGACTCTTGAAAAACCTTGATTATTTTCTGTGAAACACTCACCTACATTACATGAATAGTGTGATTATTGGTATTGATGATATTTAGACAAGCATACGAAAGAAGACTGTGTCTTATGAGTTAGAGTTTATCGCAAACTCTAATGGACGATTACCTTATTATAACTTTTTTGCTAGAACTGTGTGAATATTAGCACTTTTGTTGTGAAATATTGAATACATGGAGTGTAGTTTCCCAAGATATGTGAAACATAATTAATATTACTCGGTTTCCTTCACTAGGTGTACAAATTATTGAATGCTTACTGCCATTTGTACTTCAGTTGTTATGTCAACATGTTGAACTAGATAAATATAACATCAATCAAATTCGCTAGGGAGTATCAGTTCCCTCAAGATTATAAATACACATTGCTTAGGAGCGCCAAACTGCTCGCAAACTAACTTCATAGTTTCTTGTTGACCACCTCTAACCAACACCTTACATCTTGGTGATGTTATGTGAAAGTATCTCAGTGTAACAGGAATGAAGTGAATGAAGATTTGTTAGAGAAAACTAATTTATTACGGAAAATCAAACAATGACTTAGTAAGACATGTACATTTTAATGGTGAGTGCCAAATAACACGAAACCTAGATATGTGATTTCTTACCACCTAACGATGATAACTGTATCATTACACTGGTAAAAATTTCAATTAGCACATACTATTAAAGCTTTTATTATTACCCTGATAGCGCTACACTGCGGATTGACGTATTATAATTGAAAGATATTTCTAATAAGAGTATCACCACGTCATATGAACCACCATTTTATGTACATACTTTCATACGCATGATTTATGTGCTTTGATGATGAGCACCAAATAGTATAAAATTTAAGTTTACAAATTTCTACCAATTCCCTTCTACTATCTAACACCAAAACAGAGTGGGTGCAGTACCGAATCACTAGGACAAGTGATCACACACTGCAACTACATCGATAGAATTTAGCAACCATTAAAAACTAGATAGACCTAACATGAATTGCAACAAATTGATTGCTCACATGAATCAATAAATTAACTCCTCATACTCTTCTTTTTGTATGAAACGGAATGACTGTTATTTTTATATTTTGTATAAAAGCTTTCCATTAAATAGTATATTTAATTAAGTAATTCACTTTCTCAATTATTCAGACGATCATTCACAATCAACAAACATACTTATAAGAAGATAAAGGTTAAATGAAACGCAATTGTATTTAAAACTTCAGAAGAAAATAAACAATTAACTATTCAAGAGATTGTGAAACATCAAACATATACTTGATTTTGTAAGAGTGTTAAACATCAGTTTTACACAAACAGAAGTATACAAAGTTAGTAAGTGGATATAGTGAATTTCTGAATATCGCAGTATTTTTTGTCAGGAAAAAAAGAATTCACTATTTATTTATGTAAACGTTAACTTAACATGCAGTAATAAAGGATTATCAATTCACATTACTAGAACAATCCACAAGTCTTTAAATTCAACCAAAACAATCACTAATCCAACTGTGAATTTACTTCTTAAAAGAAACATTTTCCATCTGAAACATAAATACAAAAATAAATCTCATTTATTTTGCATAAACGGATGCATGTGTCCATGAGGATATATTTGAGAATGCAATTTAAATAAGGTTGGCTTAAACCAGTGAATTTGCCATAAAATAATTTCTGTATCCTTTATATTTCATGAAAAGATCAAACATACCATAGATATTGTTCATAAAGTTATTTGGAACATGAGATTGATTTGGATAATATTAAAACCTTATTGTGAACATATATTATCTAACTTTTATTAGTAACTTTCTCTAGTTAAATCGAACAATATCACCAGTTAGAAACTATGTTTTATTGTTATCGTGAATACAACTACACACTGCACAATGTAACTCTCTATTTATATCGAGAAACTGGGTAAATATAGTTGATCGAACGTGATTCATTATCCTATTCCTATGAAGCTTCGAGTGACATTCTAGCCATCTTCAAAATGCAAAGAAACAGTTTTTGTAAAGGTTTGTGTTTTATTTCTATCGTTATACTCATACAGTATTTCCGCAAATACTACTAAGCAAAAACGATTAGTACAAGTGTGCCAGAACTTGCATACTGTAGTTTAACTTACAGTGTACATAGACTTACATATTTATAAAATAGCAAATCTCTTCATCGCATCCAAAACGGTTTGAGTTCTTTTATGTGATGGCAAAACTAAAATAAATATGAAAGTAATTAGAATATGCAACTTACATTTGAGCAAACGAAACCTTAGAGTTTCAATCTCACGAATTTTTTCAGCAGTTGCATCTAAAAAAATAATAATCAAACATTATAATAACAAAACACTGTAAACGTAATATACATACTTGATGAGTCCTTTTAGTTAGTCATAAAGTGACATGTGAAATTCGTTAAGCATTCATATAAATAAAGAGATTGACATATGTAGGCATAATTGATTAACATCGAATTATTTGAGTTTTCATAAAATGATAGCAAACAGCTAGAATATCTTATTAACAGTCCAGTTATGACTTTTTGAATAGGTCTCTCTTGATAAACGTGAATAAAAGTTATTGATCCAATATTTTGCTCATTCCAAAATCTAATAACGCTACGTTATTGTTACACCGTTCATTCTGGAAAAATAATTATCATTGATCAGTATTTCATAAATGTTTATAACTGTCGATAAGTACAAATATGGTTTATCCATCATTTTACAGCGTCCTCAATGGATCATGTTTTGTAGTTAGTTTATTAGAGTTATTTCCAATTCCGATACAGATATACCAAATGTGAGCAAAATGTTAGTTGATAGGAAATGGTCTATAGTAAACCCCTAGACCTTGGTTCGCGTTGTTTGGCACTCATCATCAAAATGTACATGAAATTTTGAATTAATATGTGCTCCTTGACAGATTCAAACACACTTCAATTATCTGTACAGTCTGAAATATTACCACTAATCTCTTTGGACTGGTACTGACCTTCTATTAAACTGAAATACTTTTAATGAATTGATCACTGAGTATTAGCCAATCTCATATTTGTCTAGTCCTTTTCAGTGCTGATAGAATCCTATCGACCAAGTGGACACGATCGCCTGTCACTTGGATTAACATGTACATCAAAAACTAATCTTTTAAACTAGACTAACACTTAAATGTTTAAATAAACACGGTACTACTACTCACTCAACCAGTCAATTGCAAATTAAAGGTGAACAAATGAATAAGGTTACTTCAAATTAATTACATGTAATTTCAGCATAAACCATAGAAGAATTACGGAACTTCTGATGTAGTTCATTGCTTCTCAAAGGATCAGCTGAAATACAAATGGAATTTTGTAATTCAGAAATAAAAACTACGCAAACTGTTTAATTTACACAGAACAATAAAGGAATGAAATGTCAACTATGCATTAACAATTAAGTAGCATATAATTTGCTCATCATCAAAAACAAAATATAGTGAAACTTTCAAACACTCTCACTGCATTCATGTACTACGTGTAGATGACTTTAAGGACAGTATTCAAATGTTTCGTAATAACTACCAAAATCATATGCTTCTCGAAATACGGATAAAAGTGATTACTGAAGTGTTTATCGTAATCGTTATGTAACATTAAAAAGACACCGGGAGAAAAGTTATACCTATCTCAATAAATTTAACTAGTCGTTTGACTCTATATTACAGAAGGATCGTGATTGTAAGCACTTTATAACTACTATCTTTGATTCGTATTTACTACATATCAGTTTCTTACCTGAATTTCTAATGTATTCGTTTGTAATTTCAGCTAACGATTCAGAAAGTGATTTTAGTTTTTCTGAGAAAATGAAATTCATTTAAAAGAGTTCAGTCTCACTCTTGTATAATAATTAATTATAAATAAATTCCAGTTTGTTATTAAAAAATTTTCGAATTGTTTTCACATTGTAGTCAAAAAAATAACTCCGCCTGGAGCCCCTCCAGGGGTTACCGCCAGTCCTAAGCCCGAATAGAGGAGGAGGGTTAAGCATGGCGTCAGCGACCCCATCCCGTAGAAAAATAACTCGCTAAAAAAACGCTAATCAGGAACAATTATTTAACCCATTTAAACCCTGCCCTGGGAGTCAGAAGGTCTTCATTTAGAAGAGTTATGACGCCTCATAGTGAAAGCCAAGTTCCTTCGGAAGTCATGAGACCGATGTCCCTTCTAATAACCAGAGCAACCATTTATTTAGGTAAACGGAATGCTCGTACAATGTGTGAGTCTGGGAGAATCTTCCAAATTACTGCAGAAATGAGGAGATACAACCTGGAGGTGCTCGGGATCAGTGAAACACATTGGACACATTTTGAACAACAACGAAGAGCTCAAGGTGAGCTTCTGTTATACTCCGGCCATGAAGAAGAAAATGACCCACATACACTAGGAGTTGCATTGATGCTGTCCAAACAAGCACAAAATGCACTTATAGGATGGGAATTTCATGAACCAAGGTTCATCAAGGCCTCCTTCAAAACAAAGAAAGAGGGCATTTCAATGAACATCATCCAATTCTATGCGCCTACCAACGACTACAGTGAGGATGTTAAACATCAATTCTACGATAGGCTTCAGTTAATCGTCGAAAAGTGCTCAACAAAGGACTTGATCATTCTGAAGGTAGACCTAAATGCCTAGGTGGGAATGGACAACACCGGATATGAAGAAATCATGAAACGACACGGACTGGGAGAAAAGAATTAAAATGGTGAGAGATTTACAAACCCCTGTGCCTTCAATAAACTGGTCATAGGCGGCACTATATTCTCACATAAACGCGTTCACAAAACTACATGGACTGATGTAGCATCAGATCATCACTTACTGGTCGCCAAGATGAAACTGAAACTTAAGAAGCACCGAACAACGGGACAGACAAGCGAAGAGAAGAGAGCGAAGAGAAATAATACACAGTGGAGAAGGTGTGTGAACCAACTCCATTTAGCCAGGCGTTAATCAGTCAGACAAAAATAAGTGACAGACATGTGATGAATAGGATAATAAATGTGCACACACTTATGCGCTCATATAAAAACAGTCAGGGTTGATAAGTGAATAATTAACAGATTCAAAACGTGACTCAAGCTAAATGAATAAGTTGGCCAGTCCAGAAGCTAGAATAAGATATATGGGCCTAACATAGTAACCAAAACTACAATCGATTTGATTATAATTAAATTCTGAATTTTGACTGTGTATAACCTATGAGTTTTGCATGAATTATATGTAGTCGATTAACCATTGTATTCTCAAACACTGATTCTAATCAAATCTCTAATAATCTGATTGGCTTGTGTTAAATAAACTCATTGCTATTTTGTCAAAATTGTAAGTTTATTATTTAAGAGTAACAGTGATTTTAAATTGCAGCAAAATTCAATGTAGGAGCATTCAACTGCGTTAACATAAAAATAAAATAATTAAGACAACCTTTTGATTGAGATCATGAACCGATCAATGTCAAAACACCATTGAAAACCTGGAAGCACTGGATCGGTTCACTATGTCAATTTAAAAAACTCAACAATCTCAACAACCCTATACTGATAATTATCATGTACGCACTAGTAACTAGCTTCGAGAGGTAATTATCGGAATCCTAATGAGAATCCGTGACGACTAGAGATAATTCGTGTCAAGTATGAGGCAGTTACCAACGAAAACAATATAAGATGGTCGAGCAGTATCGTGGATTGATTGAAGTTAGACATTAACACCATTGGATGCCGGTTCACTGGTCTACAGGTTAAGCATTTGAGCGCGAGATCGAAGATCCTGGGTTCGGACCCCGCATATAGGGTCTTAGATGCACACTACTGAGGAGTCTCATACTGGGTTGAAACGGCCATTCAGTACTTCCAGATTTTCAATGCTTGTCTAACATTAATCATTTCATGACCTCAATTAAAAAACTCAGACATATCCACAACGCTATACTGATAAGACAACTTTGTCATCTATGTTTATTCAAGTGTAACATCATATTAACAGACTCCTATTATAAAAAACCTTCTAGACAGCACAAAATATTCTAAAATAAATTTTCTACTAATTAACTTACCACATAAACAAGGAATTTCACTTTCAATTTTAGTTATGTTCTTTTCTAACTCGTCATATTCTATAAATATATTATTAATTACAATTAAATAACATTTTTCCGTAAATATCATTCAATATTTGGGCCGATTTCATACATGAGACATTTTACCACTTCATATTCAACTTAATCAGCTTAAATTCAGTAAAACAATGACAAATTAATTAAAGAAGCAACTTGATGGCACTTTGGATTTATCAAAACTTTGACGAATAGAATGAATAGTCTGACAGAAATTGGGTGCCAAGTATAGGGTACTCAAACTTACACATGCACAAATACACACACACACAAAATCATTTATTTATTTATCTTCACATGGTGAATTTTTCACATTGATTCGCATATAACTGACACATCTTATCCTACTTACTAAAGTCACCATTTGAATATGATTGGATAAGTACAGTAAAGATTTGATTTGATTGTTAAACAATATATATTTCTTTGACAAGTTTGCTGGACAAAACGTTGCAATTATTTAAATTTCAATCACTGAGATTATTTCAAATATAATTTTCACATATAATCAAGGATGTTTTCTATTAATTTCCACGTATATTACTACAGCATTATAAAACTTGTGTTAACTGATTAGATGATATTTTAGCTGTGCTTCTTTGATCAATTTCTAAAATCTTATTTATTTAAAAGACAAATATTTGAACCTTCAAATATTAGTCTTTTAATACGATACGTATCTTTAAACGATCTTATTCATTTACTTTAAAAAATCGAAAAGGTCAATTGAGAGATAAAAACTACTGATCGGAACCCTCATAATCTCCATATTCATGAGTCAGTGTATATTTTGAAATTTATAAAGGATATCACATAGTGATCTAGTAATTCCATACAATAGTGGTTTGAAGCGAACGGTACTGAGTTCGAGTCCCAGAGTGAACATCAACTCTGAGATGCAGGTACATCCAGCTGACGAGTCCCAAACAGGACGAAACGCGTGTCCTGGATTCCACTGCTAGCCACTATCCATCTTTGCTTATAAGAGTGGTTTTAGTTTCTGAAAAATATCTATGTATATTCAAAAATACCAATAAAATTTTCGCTCTTTTAATAATACAGTTAAAAACTCTAATCTTACTTTTACTAAGAAAATACAATTTAGTTATGAAATTTTAATTACTTTCAATTATAATGATTTTATGTTAGGACATTTTAGAAAATTAACATCGAAATCATATTCATTACCAACCAGTATCATTATGTAATCCTGTTTCTAAACTTTTAAAATAGGCTTCTGGATTTCAAACAACAAAAAAAGAGCAATGGATTAGTGAAATCCGATTACCAACATTAAACATGCTTCATCAAGAAATTTCATTGTCTATAATTTTGTTTTTATTTTTGTGGGAATAATTTCTACATAATCTCATTGTTTTTGATTTTTCTTATTTTAATCTTAGAATTTGAGTAACGTAATGTTTCAAAAGATTTTGAAATTATCTAACTGAAAAAAACTCCACTTAAATAGTCTATTATTGGAAGGGGAACATATTTACAGCATATTTATCTACTCGTGAAATATTAATCAAATCATTAAATAAGTCGTTATATGTGGAAATTATATTTGAAGTGTTCTCAGCGATTGAAATTTAACTAATTCCAACGTTTCGTCCAGCTAACTTGTCTGGACTTCTTCAGAGTAATAATCAAAATCAAAATCATCATAGAAATATGTAGGTTTTTAATAATCAAAACTATACTGTGTTAAACCAATCATATCACAACTACCCAAAAGAGATTTTAAAGAGGATTGTTAAAAATGAGAGAAACATTAAACTAGAATGTATACGAAAAGTTTGGAAGTACACCGTAGTCATCCCATACCGTAGTGAAACATCGGAAGAAATCAAACGGATTCTAAACAAACATGATATAAGAGTGTATTTTAGGGCAAGTGATACTTTAAGATCGACATTAGTGAAAGTTAAGAACAGGTTACCAAAGGAAGAGTAACAAAATATTGTGTATGAGATCAACTGTCATGATTGTAATACAGCTTATATGGGATAAACATCCAGACAATTGAATGTAAGGTTGAAGGAACACAAACAATGTCTGAAAAATGTTCCCAAATCCTCGGTCGACTTGAAGAAACTTGAGAATAAGTCTACGATAGCGTTACATGCATTAGAAACAGGACACAAGATTAATCTTGAAGGGACCACAATACTTCAGAAAGGTTTTAACACCCATAAAGAAAGATTGACAGCAGAAGCGCTGTATATGTGGGCGAACAAGAACAGCTTGAACCGAAAGAATGGTATTCAACCAGCGACTACCTAGCAAATTTTCGTTGACAAGTAATTTGAACCCTCGCATTATTCAACCTGTTTATTTCACATGCATCGTTATTTTGACTGAATTCAATGAGTTTTTAGCAATACAATTATGTATCTATTGATTCTTGGATTTGACATGCACATCGATGATTCATTAACAAATTTTCAACCTTGAACTTGGACTTTTATTTATTTATTCCTTCATATATAACATATCAACACCGAATATCAATAATTAATCTTACACATACATACATACATACCTGCACACTCGCACACTTACAATTTGTTATTCAGTTAATTACTTCCATGTAGTTGAATTTTTCACGTGATTTACACTTAACTGACTCATTTTATCCTATTTTACAAAACTCAACATCTAAATATGATTGGTTTAACACAGTATAGTTTTGATTATTAAAAACCTACATATTTCTATGATGATTTTGATTTTGATTATTACTCTGAAGAAGTCCAGACAAGTTAGCTGGACGAAACGTTGGAATTAGTTAAATTTCAATCGCTGAGAACACTTCAAATATAATTTTCACATATAACGACTTCTCTATACTCGACACCCAATTTTTGTCAAACTATTCATTCTTATCTTGACGAATATTCGTATAAATCATTAAATAATCTTTTTTGCAAACATTTAGTTTTGGTGCTGTGATGTGATTGCAAACTGAGTCGGAGTTGTAATACTAATGAAATCTGAACAATACAAGTAATAACTATTAATAATGAAATCTATAAAATCAAACAATCAGGAAATGAAATTTTTACTACATCAGCTTAACAACAATGAAGATTCTTTTAATGTATAGTTTATTTTGTGAATTTGTGATTCATATTGAGGATATTGGTAGACGAACGCCTAAACTTAGGAATATCTTTTGTTTAGGAATTATGTCTTTTATAACGTTACTGCCTTCAGTTGTCTAACAATGTGATATTAACCAAAACTATAAAAAAAATAATTATATTACCCTCGTCTTCATCAAGACGTTTTCTAGCCTCCCATTTTTCGACAATAGAGTTTTTGAACACTTCATATACTGCAAATAATGTGCAAAATAAACTTCGAGTTATTTTTCTCATTCTATGTGATTAAAATTGTTTTTTAGGTATTAAAAGTCAAAGGATAATATTTGACATTACATGGACGAAAACATAGAATATTGTCGTTACATTTGAGTTATACATCGACATTTAGTACCTAAATAGTTATCTATTTAAAACAAATTCAGGTGAATCGACAATCATAAAAAAAATTTCCAATTAATGATGCAAAAACACATTTGATGTTAAATTCAGTTTACATTAAATTATACAACAGCGTAATTATTAGTCAGTGTTGTATCCCGATAAGAATAATGAATGGTAATTTTGGGGATCCATTTAAGGACCAATATTACGAGTATATTTTTATCGTATAATTGTTATGTAACTAAACGGTTCATATTCATGCCCCTCTCATTATGAGCTTTATTTTGATCTATGAACTATTATTATACGACTTACCATTCATGAATTGTTCCCTGTCTGTTAATTGCTACCTCCCTCATTCACAGCCACATCTGGCTAATTCCTGTACAAATGTTGTTTCATATTTTATTGGTACGTTGTGGTCGGTTTGTTTGGTATATAAACTCAGTATGTTTTAAATATAATGATTCATATCTCAGAGGCTGAGACTTGCGTTCTGGACTCAACTGGCTGGGCTAGACGGGGAAGCAGGAACAATCACGACTCTAGGTTGTTCTCACGTGATTACGCGTCTTTGGTCCGATCGACAATACGCTGCTCTCTAATCTGCAGTCACAAGATATAACAATCAGTTGATAGTTCTCATTGTAAACATTACCAACTATGTACTGGTTGTTTGAATCTTCCCACTGATATTTAGGATTGCAAATGATCGCTACCACTACCGTTCATTTCAAACGCCATCGCGTTACCCACTTAAATACTGAGGTCAGATAGCCGTCAGCTCATGCCATGGAGTGAAATCTAATTCGAGTCCCGGAGTGAACATCAACTCGTGGATGCAGACAAATTCAGCTGACTAGTCCCAAACAGTATGAAACACGAGTACCGTATTACATTGCTGGCCACCATCCACATCTGTTCATTACCAAATATGGTTTCTGACAGACACGATTTGACTACACTTAATTATTTAGTTAAAAATTTGGAAATTATGCAGAAGATTGTATTTTTACTTATAATTTACCAGTAAGTTAAATATCATTGTGACCTAGCATATGATCTGTATTCTTATAACAATGTATTTACGCATAAATTCCCAACCATATATGTTTAGTTATTTTGATGAACAATCAAATTGGGAACTAGTGACTTCATAAAACCGCTGAATGCCACTTTTTTTTTAAAATCACAGGACTGAGCTGTAACTCGTTTCTTTCGACCTCCTTCATCTAAGGAAGTGATGCATATAGAAATTCTTACTATGATCATCAACATAATTCAGTTGTAAATAGTATAATAAAAACACTTTAGTTTATTATAAGTTGTGCAACTTCCAAGTCGTTGGAATACCAATCATGGAATTTCAAAAAGCTAACATTAGTTACCATAAATTTTGGAATTGTGCATTTTTTCATAATCAGACGCCCTGTCATATTCATCTATCCTCAAAAACAAGATAGTGGAGTTACTTTATCACTTGAGTATATGAATGAACAACTGTATACATACAATTTCAAAACATGTTTAATACGATCAATTGGAAATATATAAAATTAACTATTACATTACTTCTTATTGCTTAACTAACAAATAAATCTTTTCCTTCATGAATTTAAAAAGCAAATCATTGCTTCAGATAATTAAACAACTGTTAGATTGAAGTACCAAATCAACTTGAGTTTCAATGAACACAAAGGTGTAGCTTAGATATGCTTGTTCAAACATGTGACTGAAAGCATGCTATTTGAATTACAGCAAACAAAACACATTGCTGTTAACCGGTAAGATCATATTAACTAGCCGTTTACATTTGAACTTCTTTTAGTTTACATATATATTTATCACACCTACTTAAAAGTGAGTAGCGGATGAGCATTAAATGACAAACTCGACTGATTCAAGTTACAGACAAAACCTTTCTAGATGAAAACAGATTTTTATGCATTTACGCTAGTCACATAGTGAGATCATTCAAATGATTTCATCTTAGTAATCAGAAACAAATATCAGTATTATTTCATAATCCAATTCGTTAGGAAATCTGATACACCAACTGTTGTGCAGGCGACTATACAAATCCTTCCTACTGTTTAAACAATTCAATCCGACATTACACCATCAAAACATTTTTTGATAATGACATAATAATAAACAATTGTAAAAGGATGCATTTTGTAAATATGTTCAATAATGTTTGTGAATATTTTTAATTGATTTGAAATCTGTTTAGAAAATGTATAAAATGTCTGTTTGGTTTCTCAACGAAAATGGACAACATTACCAGCCAAAGAGTGATTTCAGATATATTGAAATAGTAAACAGATTAAAATTAGTTACCAACTTCATATTATTTGATATTACGTAAAATATTATAAAGTAGCATACATTCGTAATATTTTTTAACAACTTCGTCTTCCGAACTTTTCGCTACAAATACAAATAAATTGAAAGTAAATATTATCAAAAACTAAATCGATCGGTATCCTATATAGTTCAATTTATTGATTGACAAGCAAGGATGTATCACCGTGTGAAATAATTAGCCAATAAGAATCAACATGGATCTGAGTTATTTTATGTAATTTTCAGCATCACATGAACGACGTATTAAACTGTATGATGTATAGCTCAAATAAAGGGGATAAAAATGCTTGCAGTATTGTAGATAAGGTTGTGTTCGTCCTCTACAAGACGGGCTGCTTATCGACTTAAGTAGTTGATTTCCATGTTCCAAATAATTAACTAAATGTCAAGTAATCTTATAAAAAATCTAAAATTGGTGTCTCATATATCGATTATGTTGATACAACATTGGAGGTTTACAGCAAAAATTATCTGTTTGGTACTAAGTTAAAGACGTAGGTCTAATTACAAAAGAGAGGTTTTAATTTGTATCACGTTTGGTTCAAAAAAGGAACTCTACATTACTATAGCAACTGAGAATCGTACTTTGGTGGAGTTTTGTTCTCTGAGCTTAATGGCTTAGTCGTGGAGTTTACATTGTTCTTCGGAACAACATCATCAGCACAAATTTCAAGTAGAAGTAGAGAATTCGAATTTCCCTAGATATGACTTACAGCTTGTCCTATCGACCTCGATCTTGATTGGTTATTGTTGACCTTTAACTTTTCATCGTCTACTTCTTCATTTTGATTGTGTTTCCCATTGATTTGATTCTCGTGCCTATATTTATCCATGATTTTTCTGATTGGTTGATAGATTGGGTCATTTTATTGTTTGCTGATTGCTGGATGTCCTAAGTGCCATGCTTCGAAAAACTTACCGGTGCTTTTAGTATTGCCCCTATCCAAGATCTCAACACTTTTCCAGTTGAACCAAGAATCAAATCAATGAGAGAAGTAAACAATGAAAAGTTAAAGGTCAACAATAACCAATCAAGATCGAGGTCGATAGGACAAGCTGTAAGTCATATCTAGGAAAATTCGAATTCTCTACTTCTACTTGAAATTTGTGCTGATGATGTTGTTCCGAAGAACAATGTAAACTCCACGACTAAGCCATTAAGCTCAGAGAACAAAATCCCACCTGAGTTACAAATATTTTCCACCATCTAAAAATCGTATATTCATTTCTAACTCACTATCTTTCATGCTTGATTGAAACAGCGTCTTGTTTTATTACCTGTTAGATATTTTATAATTTTCAAACTAAATCACTAAGCATCTAATAGTTGAAACCATGATATAGCATGAGTCTTTCTTCAACCAGTCAAAAAACCGTTTGTGACATGTACTTATTTCAAATTCTAAATGCATAGTCTATATCCACTTGCATAGAAGTGTATTAGCCCACTTCAAATAGTACAGATTTTCAAGCATCAAGCGTTCTGAAAGACAAAAATCAAACGGAATATAACACTTAGATTGTAGAATAAAAATTAAACTCAGTAACAAAAGCGTACACAAAAGTAGTTTAAGTATATTTTCTAATCTATTTATAATTACTATCAATTGTATTATGTCATCAATGAAGAGAGGAAACTGATAATTGTGTCTTACACAGGACAATCATAATAAATTATTGTATTTAATATCATTTTCAACATTGTTATCCATTACTTAAAATCGGTATGAATATTTTTTTAGAAATGCAAAATACTGAAATCGTAAATCTTGTCTAAAAGTCATTCTCATTTCAAATGGCTATCACATGAAGAAAACCGTTTGTTAATTAGTGAACTAATAGGTTCTGGGTCCGAATCCAGGACGAAACGGTCGTCCAATGCTTCCAGGTTTTCCAAGGTGGTCTAACTTCAATTGACTCATGATCTCAACTATTGAAATTACCATAATATCCACATAAACCCTTCTCTGATTATAAGTAGTGAACTGTTGATGAACATATATTTTGCCAATAATAATACCTTTAATCAGAATCTCTATACTTAACCGTTTTGTTTATAAATAATATAGTAAATCGTATTAAGCTAATTCTTGAGATAATACTTCAATAGAATTAGATATATTGATTATAATTCTTACCTTTTTCTACATCATACAGAGAAATCCGTTTAGAAAGCGAAGACCTTTGAAGTGCACTAACTTTAAAATAAAAATTCAAAAACAAATGTTTATTACCTTATTATATTAGTTAACTTTCAAACTAGTAATAAATATTTTTCTCCGTAATCTCCCAACGAATAGAAAACTGTATTTCTAACGTGTTATGAATTAATGTAAGTAACAAAATATCAGATATACAGTCTTTTTTTATTCATTAGGATATCACAAGAAAACGTATTTATTATATTATAGCTCTCAACGTCAGTCAGTACATTGAGTACTGAAACAATATAAACCATGATTCATTCGGATAATGAATAGTAATGTGCAACTGTCTGCTACAGACTTGTCCACTGTGAAATAGCTTAACATACCAGATGAAAAACACAAGTAAACGTTATGTTTTAAACTTAAATCTTTTTCTAACAACTATACTTCAATATGTAGTGTCTGTCCATTAAGTGAAGGGAAAAATTACCAAAAGTACTAGCTACAACATATGAATACGTTATGTAAAAATACAAAACTCCTGATCTCTAAATTATGAAATCATACATTTCAAAACTTATTCTCTAAATTAATTTGTACAGATACAACTAATAACTGTTCATTAGTTTTTTTCTTGGTTTCCAACCACTCTTCTTTTCAGATGCTACAATTTACATGTATGAATCATTTTATTCTATTTCTTGTGACAGAATTCACAATAGGAAAACAAGATTAGTATTTTGTTCACTGAAAATCTTAATCTTTGAAAGTGAATATATATTAGATCATCTGAAAGCTCCATACAAACAAGCAATAATATAATATAATTTCATTTTACTATCAATAAAATTCAATATAATGTGAAGTATCAACAAATTAACATAATTACTAGAAACGTTTTTAGATCTAATAACTATTAAAAGTAATAACGTACAGACACCGGCCAAAACATTATAGCATGCTTCTCTATATTCTGTTATTCGAGATTCAATTCTTTCTATAAAATAATACAATACATCTCAAGTTGAGGTATAAAAATATAGTACCATGGTTATACGTTAAATCATACAGTAAATACTTAATTTGCAAAATATCAATCGATTATTTCAAACTTGGATGTTCCTTTTCCAAATACCAGTCAATCGTCTTTGTTTCTGTATTTTCATACCAATTGCTTTCCGTTCCCATTCGTTCCTTCCCAATCTTCTACTGAAATACATTCTCTTCTACACTATCGTTATATGCCACTTATGTGATTATAAGTAGATCATATTAGAGTGTGTGTGCAGCATTAATGATAAATACTGTATTTTTAAAATTCATAATGCTAAGTTAGAGTACTTTAAATCTGTAAAAGCAATATATACATAGTTTGCGAACATCAGCAACTGATTCAAATCAAAAGCCTATTCAACTTTGTAAGAACATAGATGATTAAGAATTCTCCATTTACATCCAAAAACAAAAAATAAATACCAAAGTATTACATAAAATCACAAAGTAAAATACAAGAAAAGATCGTTACAAAAAAAACCTATAAACAAAACGTTATTGAATTCACTTGGTGCTGTTTTACTTGTATCTTACCATTGTTATTTAGCACTGCAATTGATCAGTCTCTTGTTGGCGTATGTGCATCCTGTGATGATTGCCTCGATATAGCCTTAAGTCACAAGCTTTATAAACAAAGACAGTTGGTAGCCAGCAGTGGAATCCAGAAAGCGTGTTTCACCTCACTGCACAAGCAGCTGGCTATCAGGACTCAGTAGCTAAGAGGATAACGCGATGGCGTTTGAAGCGAACGGTACTGGGTTCGAGTCCCAGAGTGAACATCTATTCTGAGTTGAAGATAAATCCAGCTGACCAGTCCCAGATAGAACGAAATGCACATCCTGGATTCTATTACTAGCCACTATACATCTTTGCTTAAATCGTTATTAAAGTTTCAAATTTTCCAAAGAACAATCAGATTTTTTCTTAAATAATTTAGATCTGACTCTTTCTTAACTAAATCAAAAGTAAACACTCAATCTATTTGTTATTTCAAGAAGAATTTAATAATATTCAAAAACTTGTACTTAATAGATCAATAAAAAATTGGTTGACAATCAGCATCATTTTCTTGACGTTTAGAACATATTGATATATCATGAATATATTCTAACTTACTTTTATCAATAATAGGTGATATAGTAGTAGCTATATATTATAAGAAACAATTCTATATAACAAACTTATTCATAAAATTATAAAAGAAATAAGTAAACATTTAATTTTAATGGATAAAGTAAAATTGTTTGTATATTGTATAAAATATAAATCCTACTATTAATATATTTTGACTTACTTCGCATATAAAAAGGTTCATCAGTGATAGCTAAACATAATGAGAAGTAATTTTAAATAATTCTATAATACATCGAATTACATAAAACTAGATTATTACATTAGTGAAAAACTAATCGACTAATAATCAATAAATCTGATATTTCAGTAAAGATGGATAGTAACCAGCAGAAGAAATCAGGAAAGGCACTTCGCAATATAAGCGACATATCATGTGTAAATACCAGCATATCAATCTGACAATCGAATCCACTACCGTTTAATTGAAACGACATCGCAATATCCACTTAGTTATTCAGTTCTCTTTCCCACATGCCACAGGCTATTTGAGGAAAACAAGAGAGCTGTACGTCAATATTTCCACAGTGTAGCACTGAGTAATCATTTTCAAAGCTTTCCAATGAAAGTATCTTGATGAAATCAACAATGAATTACTAGATGTTTAAATACACTGTATTACGGACAAACATTTTTACAAGTTACACAATTATTTCACACTTAACACTTTACAAACAAGAGCCCAAAGTAAGCACTAATTCAACGTATCTTATTTCGCGTTGTATCTGACACTAACCACATAGAAATGGCGGCAAATTGTATTGTTTGAAAACTAACGCAGATAAAATATTCCAAGTAGCTTTTTTAATTGTGTAATATACAGAACACCTGTAATATATCGAATATATTCTGACTTACTTCCATCACTGTTATATGACCCAGTAGTACCTAAATATGATACGAAACAATTCTGTGTAACTGAATCATTCATTAAATGATACGAAATGAGTAAATATTTAATTTCAAACGACAGTTTTGTACATAACAAGCTAATTTTGGACTTATTTTTATCAACGATAGTTGACTCAGCGGCAGCTAAACAGTATGAGAATTAATTCTACATAACTGTACAATTCATTGAATCGTATAAAATGAATTTATTATATTGAGGTGCGTTATATCTAGATGCTTATATTATTGATATACCATGTATAACTTGAGCACTAGAACGCTAGAACCCTTCCGAGTCGCAATGAGAAGACAGAAGGCTAGTGAAAGGAATGTTATTCCAAACAGTGTCGACGACAACCCTAGTCGAAAATACACTCACTTACATATTGATTGTACACACACTTTGATGATTAATAATTAGGATGAAGTCACATATATGGAAAATACTCAGTTATAACAAATCGCATACTGAGCATAGTTTATGTCAATTGAATACAAGAATATCATATATTATACAGAATAAAATATCATACGAGAAAAGAAAACCGAATACTACACTAAATGATCATCACATTGAATCAGAACAGAAGTAATGTTGAACATAGGTCATAACTATTAAACCAATCGAATTTCGACTTTTCTTTCCATCTTATCAATGTGAAATCAATCAATTTATAATGAACAAAATTGATATTTAAATACACTAAGATACATGTACGTCAATATTTCGATTATCATGTGTTTTGTTGAATACTGATTATATCATTATCCCTAGCCGTTTCGTAATGTTTTTTATACTACTTTATGTGAACCTTATTTATATGTCTTCAATTAGTACTTGTATTGTTAGTGTGTATTACAAATTATCTCTGTTTCAGATTCTATCAGAAAATACGTTCTTTTTTACATTTACCACTCAATAAATTTCAGTTAAAATTTTTCTTGTATTTGATCGTATCTTTACATCTTTATTCAGATTACTTTCCAAATTGTTATTGTATGTAGAAATACACCATCAACCTTATATTTCTTTCGAAACGTTTAACAATAATCGAAGTCACATTTCACAATTCATATTGTCGCTAAAATTATTAATGAACGGAATACACCCATTAAGACATTAAATAAGAAAGATTAGTTCAACGAAGAGTTCTCATTTCGGCGAATTCATTTTCAAAGCTGTACGATCGTAAATACATATACTTATTTTTACAGGATGATAATAATACTGATAATAAACTTGTTATACATGGTGACAGTGAGGTTAAATAAACAAAGGTATTTAAAAACAAACCACGATCTTTCCGATTACATTTCATCTCCATTTCAACACTTTATTTTATCATGCTGAGCCATCTTTTCCCAATGATAATTTCCCTATCTATCTTTTGATGAATACTTAAGCCATTAACAATCAAACGATTATTGAACTTGTTTCTAAAAATCTTTTTTTTTAAACCTATGTTTATTTAACCTTACTGTCACCATGTCTAACAGAAGTTTATTATCAGTATTATTGTGATTATTATCATCTTGTAAACTAAGTATATATATTTGCGATTGTACAGCTTTGAAAATGAATTCACTGAAAAGAGGACTCTTCGCTGAACTAATCTTTCTTATTTAAAATTATTATTATTAATAATGGTTTTATTCAATATTCTATTTTTGGTACAATATAGAATTTTCAGCTCAAAGTATTTCAGCAAGTTTCCTCTTCTTATTTCTTGATCAATCCTGACAAGATATATTGTATGGTCCCCAATTAAAAGCTAGCGGTTCAGACAATCAACATCTTAATAATGTGCATTCTTTTTCCTGCATATTGCCAGCAACCACAATATCTCTGATTGAACCGTTTGTAACTTGTACAACGAAAAGTTGTACATTATTCAGAAACGCAACTGAATAGGTTATGCAATTAATAGCCATAATGATGTATTAAATCAAGAAAACTAGATAACTTGTTGAAATATCTGGACGACAGGGACAGGTAGCCCAGATGTTCAAGCAGGCCACCATAACGTCAAGTTTTAATAATGTGATATTAGCAGACAAATATTACGTTTTCAATACTTATTATCAAAATATATTAAAACTTACCAGAATAAATCTGTAAGCAATAAAATAATACTACTACTATAACGTAAACGTTCATGTTTTAAGTAAAGATAAGTAATAATGTTTTTTCTACTCTCTTTATATAGTATCTGTTTCGTACAATTTAATTTCAAAAGCTTCTAAACAACAGTTCATGTTTTCACATCAAGTGGTTACATCAAATTTTACGTTTACAATTACAAATGAAAAAGTTCCGTATATAATATTTTACAACTCTATTACTTATTCGTCATTACAAAAACAAACTCTCGCTCTCTCTACAAATTCTCATCGCAAATAATATGTTACCTTAAGACTTTCTTTTCAAGATATATTTTTATAAGTGCTTTTATTAATAAATATATGTATAATGAGAAAATCTCTACATAAGTTATTCATCAAGGCAGTGTAGATTAGAAAAACATACAAATCATCCTGACATAAAATTATACACAAGCATGTTAATATTCTCACCTTTAAAAAGAATATTGTCCTGAAAATTTCCAGATTAATTTATCTGAATGGATTTCTGTAAACTGAAATTATAATCTTTATTATTTACAGAAGACTGCATAATAATGTTTGTGTTATAGTGGTGTTAGCAATGTAGTTCTTGCTAAACCTGAACTACAAAATAAGTGAGTTTAATATTTTGTTCAGTTGTTATTTAAAATTCTCGAATAATAACTTCAAAACCATAGATAACAATACACAATGACAAAGGTTTCTTCCCTTTTGTCTAGCAAAGCATTCGCAAATGTAGGAAACAAGTAGATTTACTTCAATATTTATTTCTAAGTAACTTCAGCTTGAGCTTATTCAGATTTAGACATTTAATCGCATGCTATCCAATTGATAGAAATCCGTGGCCACTAAAGGACTAGACAAACATGACATTAATCACTTCTCAGTCAATAATGCGTTGTGTATATCTTTGTCCTTCCACGGTGTGGGCATCAGGGAAGTGACATCAGCTCTTATACCCACAACAGCACACGAGACCAAGTTATTCACAATCAAATCCTTCCTACACCTCCTAACAACTCTCTTATCTCCTCGACTAACCCTTCTCACGTCCCTTTATCACCTCGCGCCGCTAATACGAACGATTCGAGTACGCGGAACGTTACTCCTCGTCTCCTGAAACCACACTCTAAACTACATGAAGAAGCTTTTAACGTCCGAACATTGTGCCATAGAGAACAACAGGCTTCCTTAGCTAGGACTTTAAAATCTCGCGCCATTAATGTGTACTGCGTCTCCGAAACGCGCATACAAGATCCAAGTAGCGTCATACATTTGACCTCTCCATATCAAAATAAAGAACCATCTCGATTCACGCTTCGTCTATCTGGAAGCCCTGGTGCTGCTTCCCGTGGCCTCGCTGTAGGTGTAGATATAGCATTGAGTCCTATGGCAGAACTAGCCCTCTTAGACTGGATTCCAGTAGACTCGGAAAGATAGAAACACTCGTCGTTGCCCTTTCGTCGTCTCTGCCTACTCTTCCATTGGCTGCAGCTCAGATGAGAAAAAAGATGAGTTTTGTAGAAAGATTTACGACCTTCTCCAAAATGTTAGGCGCTCTGACATAGTAACAGCGGATGGTGACTTTAATGTTGAAGTAGGTAAACTAAGAGAGAAGGAAAGATACCTTGGTGGGGATTTAATGATGTTGTGGCTCAAAGAACAGATAATGGCGACCGTCTGTTGCAGCTATGCTCAGATAACCGCCTCTTTCTTGCAAATACTAACTTTAAGCATAAGAAAAATATCATTTGACATGGCAATCCTTGAATACGTCCTAACATTGGACCCAAACAGATCAGATTGCTATCAGCCACCGATGGAGGGGCTCGACAGAAGACTGCCACTCATTCTGGAGCACATGCTTAGATTCAAATCACGCTCTAGTGCGAGCACGTATTTGTCTATATCTTGCTGGACGTAGGAAAGACGCTGCAAGGAAACCCCTTAGGGTCCTACTTAATGATAACCAAGCTAAGAATATATTTCAGGAACAACTAGAAAAACAGTTAGTCAGCCGTGTGAGTAATGCCCATCCCGAGGAAGCTGTGGAAACAACATTGATGTCTGCAAGTAAGGTGAACCATAAGGTTAGGGAGAAACACTGGATCTCAGCAGCATCTACCGCACTGATAGATGCTCGAAAAATCATCCCATCTGGCTCTGAACATGACAAAGAGCAAGTCAGCTTAAGCGCAGGCTGATAAGAAGCCTACGCAATGATCGTGAACAGTGGTGGGTAGCGAAAGCAAGAGAGATGGAAAAGGCAGCGGCAATGGGTAACAGTAGACAACTGTTCAAACTTGTCAAGGAAACCGGTATTAGGAACCCGACTGTTAGTGAAACTATCTCGGAAAAAGATGGACATATTATTCATTCTCAATCCAGGAGATTGGATCGATGGGCAGAACACTCTAGGGATTAGTTCAACTGGCCTTCAGCCACACTTCGGTTTCCCACGATCTCCAGTCAACCTGAATGGCAAGTTAATGTAGGTCCTACAACTCTTTACGAAGTTGAAAAAGCCATAGGAAATCTGAAACGAGGGAGAGCAGCAGGCCCTGACAGGTTTACTCCTGAGATTTTTAAGGATGGTGGTCCAGTATTAACATTGAGATTAACCGAGGTCTTAGGTAGAATATGGGAACTGGACGTAATCCCATCTGACTGGTCTCAATCACTGATTGTGCCAGTCTATAAGAAAGGACAAAAGTCCTCTTGTGACAATCACAGAGGAATCAGTTTGACTAATATAATGTCTAAAATATTAGCCTCAATAATACTTCGACGCCTAATCAAAGCTCGTGAAGAGCAGATTAGAGGAAACCAGGCCGGTTTTCGACCTGGACGTGGTTGTATAGATCAGATATTCACACTACGTCAGGTTCTAGAACATAGACACACATTCAGACGCCCCACAATGGTAGTATTTCTCGACCTTAAGGCGGCATTCGACTCTGTTGATCGTGAGGTTCTATGGCAGTGTTTGTCACTGAAAGGACTACCAAAGAAATACATTAACCTTATAAAGGCTCTCGACTCGAACACAACTGGTAGAGTGAGAGCTTATGGCGAACTGTCATCAGAATTGATTACCTCAAGTGGCGTTCGTCAGGGCTGTCCACTCTCCCCATTCTTGTTCAACTTTGTGGTCGATGTACTTTTAGAGATAACACTTTCCTCATCTAAATTTACAGGGGTTGAACTTCTACCAGGAGGTTCACTTGTTGACTTAGAATATGCTGATGACATAGTTCTATTTGGTGAAGACGCCGACAAAATGCAGAGTCTTCTGACCACTATAAGCAACAATGCAGGCATGTTCGGGATGCGATTGTCCCTCTCGAAATGTAAAATGTTGCTTCAGGATTGGGTTGCACCGACACCCCAACTAATGATAGGGAGTGAAGTAGTTGAGTGTGTCGACCGCTTCAATTATCTTGGGAGTATTATCAACCCATGTGATCAGGTGTGTGACGAAATCTCAGCACGGATACAGAAGTCTCGACTAGCTTTTACCTAATTGCGTCACTTTCGGCGTAGGCGAGATATCCGTCTATCAACCAAAGGACGGGTTTACTGCGCAGCAGTTCGTTCCGTCCTACTTTATGGCAGTGAAACAAGGCCGGTAAGAGTAGAGGATATTCGTGGGTTACTAGTATTTGATCATAGGTGCCTTCGAAATATTGCTCGTATATCCTGGGACCATCGAGTAAGTAATACAGTTGTTAGGAAACGGGTATTAGGTAAGGATGGCAAATCTATTTATGCACTAGTGAAACCTCATCAGTTGAGATGACTAGGACACGTATTACGTATGCCCAACCACCAACTGACCCGACGTGCGATGTTTTATGATGTAGGAGTAGGTTGGAAGAAAGCTAGGGGCGACCAGACTAAAACACGGCACAAATCCATGAAGTCACAGACACGTGAACTCAGTCATGCTGGTAGATGTAGACTACCTGGTTGAGATTCGCGAGACGATAGCAACCGATGATTAGAGACCTAGAATGACATGGTTCAAAATCGTTTGCAATGGTGGGAGCAGGTGCATCCACTCTTTGAGTTCTCCCAAATTCTGATCTTCTGAATTCGTCATGTCCGTTTTCTTCTCCTTCAAAATTAATTTCACTGGATTATATTCCTTGAATAACATCTTCAAACACTAATCTTTCCGATTACTGATTACACTTTTACTACCTCTACCACTATGGGATTTGAATCGACAATTGTATCTGTGTGATATGCGGTATGGCAACTGGAATCGATGTACGTACGTAAGAAGTTCTACGTTGTTGCTGACTGAATGACTGACGTAAAAGATAGACATTATATCGCCATAATTATTTTACCATGGTTATAAGAAGTTTACCACACTTTTTCTAAAACTAAAGTTCAGGTTGTGATTGCTTGATGACAATAACCTCCCCAAAGAGGATTAAAAACGGTATTTCTTGTTTGTTAATTAATTTAAACGCCATGGTGATATCCACGTTATGTGCATTATCCATTAAGCATTAGGAAATTTTAAACATTTTGCTTCCTTTCAAATACAGCGTTAGCGGATATATTCAGAAATTCTTGTGGACGCCCTTCTTTTAGTCCTTCCTAATTATTTGCCACTGTAAGTGCATGTAAATTCACAAACAAATTTGGAAGTAACCTCAGAAGGATATTGATCTGCTTTTAACTGATTTAATAAACATTTGGTGTTAGATACTGAAAAAAGTTGGGCTCCAGGGAAGCTCCTTTTTAGCATTTTACTAATTTATGATTTTATGCAAAATCACATGGGGCCTTTGTAAAATATGAAAATTGCACATTAAATACATCACTTGCACACCGTCTTTCAGTTTTTCCTTATGTGCTCCATCATTCTTCCAATCCCGTTGTTATTCCGATATCCCTGCTTTCTTTCTTCTCTTTATTACAATCTTCCGCTGGTAAGCACTCCACTTACAATTCCTGCTACATACTACTTATGTCTATCCGCATAAGTAGAGCAAACCACAATATTAGTACACTAAAAGACTTCGACTCACAAAGATAAGCGAATCAATGAGTTACATTATTGCTTCTTCCTGACAAAGACAGTTAAAGACAAGCTTTCTCGTAACAATTAGTTTTTGAACCTATCTGTAAACATTATTCTATACTTCGCACATTTCATATTAAGTAATCTTGAATAAATACCAATTTAAAAGGTTTGTTTCACCAAGTTTTGACGATATATTTGTTCGTGCTATCATGTTGTTTATTATTCTGATATTTACTACTATGCCTGTCACCTTACAAATTGTACTTTTTACTTATATATAATTAGTTGTGTAATCCTTCTTTATTATTAGCACTGAATCACACATTACCTTAATTAGTTTCAATTTTTCTATACACCGATATAAATATTGATGTGGAAAATGAAACCTGATGAATATCAAACTGAAAGCAATAATGTTCGATTAATACCTATTGTTTTACATTAGGTGGTTGGAGGTAGTTGACAGGAAATCCTGGACCCAAATTTCGTACCATTTGGCATTTGTCGGTAAAGTCTACCTGTGATCTTGAAAGAATCGCTTCTACTGACGTATTGGATCCCGCAACACCCAGCCTCACAATCTAAGACGATACTGCGCAGCTATTCGGGTCACGACCGAGATGAGTCGCTTAGACTAATGACTACATCCCAACTTGGTCGATAGAATCCAATCACAATTAAAAAGACTAAACAAGTATGACACTGATCACTACTTAATAATCAGTCAACTGTAAATATGTTGCTTTACTCTCCAATGTCTGAATTTTTAACATTCTAAGAAGAATTACCGAAATTAACACATTAACAGAAAACACCTCAAATATAACAAGTAAACTAAAAATAGTTGATAATTGATCCCAAATAAAATAAAAGCATTATGAACTAATGGTAACGAACTTGAATTAAAGATAATTGATGCAACGAAGTTTGATATAAAAGTCGAAGAAGCATTGAACCGGTTAACTGAGTTGGACTCAAAGTAAGACGTATAATTTTAGGGAAAAGACTAGACAAATCACACAAAGGATTATCGCTGGTCCGTTGAGATCGAGCACTAAGCCAACGAGGATCCAAAAGGTACCAATCTTCATTGAAACATTGGTGGCTACTGTTATTTGAAACATTGTTAGTAGTTTGATGTTCATCAGAGACTAAATTTGCAAAACCTGGGATGTACTCACGATGATGTGCGGTTATTGGATTGACAGATGACTTATGGAAGTGAACAAGATTGAGATCATTTAGACAATGTGAAGCAACCTGAATAATGGAAAAAATCATACAACCATATTTAATAAGTGATTAACCAATAAGAAATATAAACTAAACTTCAAGTTTAATACATGACGAAATTAAGGTATAAAAAACTGAATATCTTCGTATAATTGGAGATGTTACTAAATAATAGAGTTAATACGTGTTATAAATATCGGAAAAATGCAGACCTTGCAGTGCTTTGAAAACTTTTAACAGTGAATGAAGCTGAGGCAGAAATATCAGCATACTGTTGTGAACAAAATGAGAGTGGGGTAGATGGAATTCCCCGTGAGATAAAATAGAAACTCCACCTGTAGCTCTCCTAGAGTTATTGTCGGTCCCAAGCCCGGGTAAACGAGGAGGGTTGGACATGGGGTCAGCAACCCCATCCCGTAGAAAACTAACTCACTAAAAAAACGCTAACCAGAAAAAATAATTCAAATCATTTAAACTCTGTCCTGAGAGTTAGAAGGTCTTCATTTGGAAGAACTATGACACCTCATGGTGAAAGCCGAGTTCCTTCGGAAGCCACGATACCAATGCCCCTTTTAACAACCAGAACAACAATTTTTATAGGTACATGGAACGTCCGGACGATGTGTGGGACCGAGAAAACCAATCAAATAGCAAAGGAAATGAGGAGATACAACTTGGCAGTACTGGGAATCCGCGAAAACCCGAATGCCCTGGTACGGCCGAGAGTGGGGAGTCCGCTTCCCCTCTCGAAATACTCTCACACAGCCGCGCGTATACAGCCTTTGCCAGGGAAGTCCTACTCATTGCCTTCTCGTGGCGGGGGTGTTGTTTACGAAAATGAGAGGACGAAAAGCGAATGTCCGGCGCTTTAACCGGATCACAAACCAACGGTGCACATGGGCTCCAGTATCCTGCGGGAACAAATGGCGTATGAACCAATCGTTGGTCACCGGCCACCATGGGATCGCATCTCCTTACGATGATCCACTGCCTTGTGGGTTAGACCTTTAGGTCAAAGGCTCGGGGTGTGGCCCCCTAAGATAACCACCTGCTTCGGTTTGGGCACCCGGGCAGTATCACAGCCCACACACAAATGATGAACTCTTTATGTCTATGGAAATTACTTTTCTCGATTCGAAAAACAATCAATTGATTCAGATTATTATCATTACAATTATTGTCATTATTAATACTATTATTATTATTATTATCATTATTATTTTCCACATTATTCACCCTCTTTTATACTTATATAGCGGCTCGTCTTTGGTGGAAATTCGACTGTATCTAAACGTTCTCGAGTCACTGTCCGGTTGAAAATTGTATGTTACCACCGAATACGAGGACTGAAGCAGTTTTTCTGAAACCACGTGCACCATTCAAACTGGCTGCCTTCAACGTTCGCACACTTATGCAGGTTGGTCAATAGATAGGGCTGGCTATGTCTTTGGAAAGTCTTAATATTGATGTTTGTTGTCTATCCGAGACCCGTATTCAAGACTCTGGCGAAGTACTACAAATTCGATTTCCATCTGTCGCTTCGAAAAGCTTGTTTTACGTGCGCTTATCCGGGGACCCTGTGGCATCTTCGTCTGGTCTTGCTGGCGTTGGTGTCGCACTAAGCGCTAGAGCTGAGGCAGCACTAGTCGGTTGGATCCCCAATAACAGTCGGTTATGTGCTGTTAGATTAGAAAGTTCCATCAAAGTGAGAAGAAATCGGCGTGAGAAACGATGTCTTTTCGCCATCTCCACCTATGCCCCGACAGATTGCAGCCCGGATGCAATCAAGGATGAGTTTTACCGCCAGTTATCTGTTCTTCTCCAGAAAGTGCGTTCGACAGATATCGTAGTACTAGCCGGAGACTTGAATGCTCAGGTCGGGCGTCTAGGCACAGAAGAGAGTCGATAATGCCCAAGGCATGCAATCCGCACTTAATCAGTTGGCAATCAGTGTCCGTAGGTATGGTATATGCTTTGCACCTTCGAAGTGCAAAGTACTTCTACAAGACTGGCAGGATTCTAATCCTGTACTCACCCTGGATGGTGAGCAGATAGAAGTAGTCGAGAAGTTCGTGTATCTGGGTAGCTGCATAAGTGCTGGTGGTAGTGTGAGTGATGAGATCAATTCAGGCATAGTGAAAGCCAGAGCGGATTATGACAATCTGGGCCATCTTTGGCGCCTTCGTGATGTTAGTCTGGCTGTAAAAGGTCGGATCTACAACGCGTCGGTGAGAGCAGTTCTGCTCTATGCTTGTGAAACCTGGTCTCTCCGAGTTGAGGACGTGAGACGACTCTCTGTGTTCGGTCATCGCTGTCTCCGAAGGATTGCTGACATTCAGTGGCAACACCATGTCAGTAATGCAGAGGTTCGGCATCGTGTGTTCGGGCACAGAGATGATAATTCAATTGGTGTCACCATCCTGAAACACCGACTTCAGTGGCTTGGACATGTTCTCCGAATGTCCTCCCAGAGAATTCCACGTCGTGCATTATTTGCCGACTCTGGGACTGGTTGGAAAAAGCGGAGAGGTGGTCAGTGCATGATATGGTGTCGTGGTATGAAAGAAAGCTGCAAAGGACTGGCTTGTGTTGGTCCTTCACGACCCCCTGGTTGGGGTCTGAGAGATGGTGCGACACAGTGGCTAGAGACGTTATCAGATATGGCTCAGAATAGAAGCCAGTGTCCATCCTGCTGTAACCTTCTTTTACTTTCTTCATAAAAAGTGGTTGTGTCTCCCTTACCTGAAAGATTTCTTCTGATTGTACCTTTCCGTCCCCTCGTTACTACCACACTACCTTACACCAACCTCTTCGTTATTGTTCTCTTTTTCTTTTGCGTTCCTTAGTTTTTTTTTTCTATTTCTCTTCGAATTCTCATTGTTTTGTGTGGCGCATATATATTGGCGCTCTCTTGTACCAATATTCATATGTTCAAATAAATAAATAAATATGAAACCCACTGGACCCAAGCTGGACAACAAAGGCTATATACGATAGAGATGCTGCTATACTCCGGCCACGAAGAGGAAAATGCTCCACACACTCAGGGAGTTGCTCTCATGCTGTTCAAAGTAGCACGAAATGCACTTGTAGGATGGGAACCTCACGGATCCAGAATAATCAAAGCATCATTCAAGACAAAGAAGGAGGGGATCACAATGAATATTATTCAATGTTATGCACCCACCAATGATAGCAACGACGACATTAAAGATCAATTCAACGAGCCGCTGCAATCAATCATAGAGAAGTGACCAAGAAAGGACCTAACTTTTCTGATGGGAGATCTAAATGCCAAAGTCGGAATAGACAACATCGGATATGAAGATATTATGGGACGACGTGGACTGGGATAGAGAAACGAAAATGGAGAAAGATTTGCAAATCTATGTGCTTTCAACAAATTGGTCATAGGAGGCACAATATTTCCACACAAGCGTATACACAAGGCTACATGGATCTCACCGGACCACACTACAGAGAACCAAATAGATCATATTTGCATCAACAAAAAATTCCGAAGGACAATGGAAGATGTGAGAACCAGGAGAGGTGCTGACGTAGCTTCAGATCACCACCTAGTTGTAGCCAATTTAAAACTGAAGCTAGAGAAGAACTGAACAACTAGACAAACAGCACTACAAAGGTTCAATACAGCCTTCCTTCGAGATACTGACAAACTCAATGAATTCAAGATAGCTCTCAACAACAAGTTCCAAGCCTTATAGGATCTACTGAAGGAAGAGGAAACTACTATGGAGGACAACTGGAAAGGTATCAAAGAAGCATTAACTTCAACGTGCCAAGAGGTTCTGGGGCTAAAAAAGCATCATCATAAGGAATGGATCTCTATGGAAACACTGGACAGGATCCAAGAAAGGAAGAAAAGAAGACAGCAATTAACAATAATCGAACAAGAGCTGAGAAAATCAAGGCATAAGCTGAATACACAGAAGCAAACAAGCAAGTGAAGAGCAGAATCAGAGTCGACGAGCACAAATAGGTGGAAGAACTAGCAACGACAGTAGAAAGAGCTGCAAGAGAAAGAACTTTCAAGCAACTATATGACACGACGAAGAAACGGTCAGGGAAATATTGTAGACCAGAGAGATCGATCAAGGACAAAGAAGGCAAGCTAATCACTGAAATTCAAGGACAGAGGAACAGATGGGTAGAATACTTTGAGAATATCTTGAATAGGTCAGCTTTACTAAACCCACCGGACATCAGAGCAGCACACACACACCTTTCAATAGATGTCACTCCAACAACGACGGCAGAAATCAGGATGGTCATCAGACAAATCAAGAGCGGTAAAGCCGCTGAACCTGACAATATACCTACTGAAGCACTGAAATCATCATTATAGTAACTACAAAGATGCTCCACGTTCTACTCAGGAAGAATTGGGAGGAAAAACAAGTACCGACGAACTGGAAAAGACACCTCACCAAGATTCCAAAGAAAGGAGATCTGAGCGAATGTGAAAACTAGAGGCATCACACTACTATCAGTACCAGGGAAAGTCTTTAACAGAGTGTTGCTGAACCGGATGAAAGATGCAGTAGACACCCAACTTCGAGATCAACAAGCTGGATTCCGTAAGGATCGGTCGTGCACAGACCAAATTGCGACAATACGGATCATCATCGAACAATCAATTGAGTAGAACTCAACACCGTACATCAACTTCATTGATTATGAAAAAGCATTTGACAGTGTAGATAGGAGAACGTTATGGAAACTTCTTCGACACTATGGGGTTTCTGAGAAGATTGTCAGTATTATCCGGAACTCATACGACGGACTACAGTGCATAGTTGTGCTTGAAGGACAGCTGACAGATGCATTCCAAGTAAGGACCGGAGTCAGACAAGACTGTCTATTCTCTCTCTTCCTCTTTCTTGATACGTCTTGTCGATGAAACGCTATATACGATTCCTAAGCCATCTGGTAACCCGCAGACTAGAACTACACAGCGACTTGAACACCAGAAAGAAGACACAAGTATGAGAGAAAATACTTTATCCCAAGGTTCATTTTTGTACAGAAAATCAAGGGTATTTATAGATGTTGGCGTCTGTTAAATCAACATCATATTTCAGCCAATCCATTAACGTTATATTATGCTACCGACCAATAATAGCACGCCACGCTGGAATTCTCGAACGTTCCACCGTACTCTGATTGGCTAGGATCCTTCGGCTCCTTTTTGGGCCTCTGGAGGCTCCGTTAAAGTTCTCCGGAAGCCGACTCAACATTTCTTCTGGTGATCGACTGGATTATGAAGACCTCGAAATCTGAGGGAAAACACAGCATACAATGGACAGCTCAGAATCAATTATACGATTTGGACGTCGCAGATGACCTAGCCCTCCTAACGTATACACACGAACAAATGCAGACAAAGACAGCCAGTATAGCAGCAGTCTCTGCATCAGTAGGCCTCAACATACACAAGGGGAAAACCATGGTCCTCAAATACAACACGGGGAACAGCAATCCAATCACTCTTGATGGCGAAGCTCTCAGTCAGTCAGTCAGTAACAACGTAGAACTTCGTACCTACGTACATCAGTTCGAGTTGCCACACCACATTAGCACAGAGATGCAGTTGTCGATTCAAATCCCGTAGTGGTAGAGACGGTAAGAGTATAAGCAGTAATCGGGAAGATTAGTGTTTAAAGATGTTATTTAAAGAGTATAATCCAGTGAAACAAATTTGGAAAGAGGAAAAAAGGGACATGAAGAATTCAGAAGATTAGAATTTGGGAGAACACAGAGTGGATGCACCTGCGCCATTGCAAACGATTTTGAGCCATGTCATTCAGGGTCTCTAACCATCGGTTGCTATCATCTCGCGGTCCCCAACCAGGTAGTCTACACCTACCAACATGACTCAGTTCACTTGTCAGTGACTTCATGGACTTGTGCGAAGCTCTGGAAGATGTAGGATCCTCACATGGATGGAGAATGCTGGTGAACGGCCTATGTTCCTTCAAGAGGAGTAACAAGCGTAAGTAAGTAGGTTAGTACTTGGAACTTTTTAGTGAGAGTGTTTTGTTACTGTAGCAGTACCAACAATGATGTAGAAGACGTTAGCAAGTTGATTACACGTGACAAAGTTTAATTAAAATGGTACTCATAGATATATATTCGGTGTACGACATTGGATAAAGAAACAATCAAACATCGCTAATTAATCCGTACATGACAGTCTGAATGTTTTGAAGAAGGACTTCAAAAGAACTCAACCTACGATAATGTGTTATCAGGTTACATCACTTGAGGATTTGCAATTTCTATACACTTCAAATACCAAATGACGCATTTTAACACCGCTCATTCAATGAAACAACAAATTCACTGATCATCGAAACCCTTGATATATTATTCACCTTACGTCGTAATGGAAAATTGAAATATCTAGTGAACGAGATGATTTTCGAGACACTAGTTCCGTCTATATGCTATAATAGTAGGACGGAAAAGCATGAAGGATGACACCCAGTTATCCAGTCTTATATTGTTTAGGTAGTGGCGAAAATTACAGACTTGTTTGTTAAAATGCAGAGATGGTATCAAAATTCACACTAGGAACTGTGTTATATGCTTCATACCTAAACAGAGAGAAGCACTTGCAGATTTTGCGTTATTTTTGTATTTATCGAATTACAGTTCGCTATGAGAGCGCTGATCGGTAAGGTTTGATCACAAACAAGGTCATTGCAACTATCCACTAATCTACCTTTAGGATTTTTATTCGAAATGACACAGAATTAAACAGAATCATTGAAACCTATTGTTGGAATGTTACAAATGTTCCCAATATTAGCAGATATTTTGCTAACTAGTTAGCATAACACAAAAGAGAAAAATGAAGGTAGTACATTGTTTCCCGAAAAAAGGAACAATGAAAACTTTACCACTACATTAAACCAAAATATTTCATTTCACCTATCATTAGGCACTGATTTTCAGAAAAATATAAATTGGATTTTCGTACATGACTATGATGAATGGGTGATGGGGTTATTGACCGAATCTTGTCACTATTACCATAGTTGAAAGGCTTGGTATGATGACACGTGGGTCATACTTCGTCTGGCTTTCTCGACTTTGTTCTAGCTTGGTTTCCAATACAAAATACCACGAGCCCAAGAGCTTTTGACTATATGTACTGTGTTTTTATCACAGCATTCGCACGAAATTTTCTATGGTGAAACAAAACTTGTTTACACGTACAGCAACTAAATCCGAATCCTACAGACCAACAAAACAATACAATGTAATGTTTATGGCTGATAAAACGAAATGTCTTTGACCAAAATATAGACATTTTACAAATCAACTCAGAAAATTTCAAGGCACGTGAAAAATAATTTAATTTATAATTCACACTTACATCACTTATTTCACAAACTAACTGTCTGGCGTCATCGGAAACAAGAAAAAGATCCACTAGGTGGAGACGATGAAGCTCACTTAACTGACGTACCACTCGGCTAATCGTTCCCAGTAATGCACCTCCAGTTCCATAAACAAGACCACGCAAATCATCGACTTCAGAATTAAAATCCAATTCAAAAGAATGAACAATAGGTGGGTGGTGAAAAGGTGAGAAATTTGACACAGATGAGGGATACTGAGAGCTTTTACTGCGTTTGAAGCTGCTACAATCATAACGATGAGATGGAGGATAGCTAATAGAAGACATTCTATGCGATTGAAATTGCTCTAAATCATTGAATAAATCAGCTTGCTAATAAAAACAATGAAATTCAAGTTTAGCAAAACTTAAAAGTCATACACAACGAAATAAACTAGACCAATAATATTATATAATGCTAAATGATATGATAATATAGATATAGCTAGAAAAGGCTGCATCGTGTATTTGAATGAAACTCTCATGAAGAAGCCAAAAAATGTAACTCAATAATTTAGTTATATCTGTTATTATTATTTTATTTGAAAACATAGATATTGGTACAAGGGGGCACCAAATACATGTGTGGGGGCTACAATGCTGCCCGGGTACCCAAACCGAAGCAGGTGAGCTTCTTAGGGGACCACACCAGGAGCCTTCGACCTAAAGGTCTGATCCACAAGGCAGTGGAACAACGTCAGGAAATGCAGTCTCATGGTTTCTAGTGACCAACAATTGGTTCATACGCCATTTGCTCCTTCAGGATCCCGGAGCCCATGTGCACCGTTGGTTTTCCAACTCCCCTAGATGAACTCTCCATATCCACCAACTCGATTAGAGCGCCGGACATTCGCCTTTCGTCCTCTCAGTTTTGTAAACAACACCTGCGCCACGAGAAGGCAATGAGTAGGACTTCCCTGACAGAGGCTGTAAACGCATGACCATGTGAGAGCATTTCGAGAGGGAGAGCGGACTCTACCCACTCTCGGCCGTACAAGGGCATTTGGGGGCGATATCTGTTGATACCGTAAATTATAGACATACATTAGATTAGTAATTAATTAATACCAACTATGTCAGTTCGATACACCTAAATTCATTTACTGACCGGATATTCAAATTGATATGTACCTTATTCCAATTTTTGATATCGTTTTGATCAGTTGTGAATAAACGTGTTAGCGGGACATAGACTGGATTAAAGCATGCTCAATGGACGATCGCTTTGGTGCACGCTGATTGGCTAACTCTTATCCAATCAGCGTTAGTCAACACTAGAAATCTCATGTGAAAAACTATAAATAAACTAACACTTTTCCTATTGTACTTACTTGCTTCTTACTTCCATCTAACCTCGTTATTTGGAATATAATCTTTTTTCTGTTCAACCATGTTCTGATTGGTCGAATCATAGCTTACGAAAAACTGTCTCAGAGATCTGTCTCCAACCGGGAAACTCATTCATCGGTTTATAGTAAGCATATGACAACTTCCCCCGAGGATCCTTACAAAATGTTGAGTCGTCTGAACAACTTGAATCCAAGAATGCTTGCAATGTGTTCCTCCCCCTATAAATGGTGTATGCTGGCTTACGACTTTCAAACGATCGTCTTTGGTCTAACTAAAGAAAGTGAAGGGATTATGCATATTGACCAGTCTACTAGTTTCAGAAGTCTTATCAGTCTTGGTAGGTATTCAGCTGATGAAATCTTGGCATAAATACAGGAAACTCAGTTAGTACTTTTTAACCTGAGCCATCTAAACATGACAAATAAATAAAAGCTCCAGAGTATGCTTCCAAATAAGTAAGAGTGAGTGTTGTACACCGTAATTTAAGGTTTTGTAGGACAATGAATATGCTGATGTTAATATACCCTGGTTATTTTTTTGTACTACAATTCATTAACGTGGAAAGTTACAAATCTTCATTAAATATGATAAACAGCTTTGTAGAGTTTTGTGTAACCCCCACCATTAAAACTGAAAACATTTGTTGAAATTTCTATTTTAAAGATATCCTATTAAAGTGAACAATGACAATGATCAATAAATATATTATGAAACTGGGTACTTAAAGCAGTGAAATGCTTACACTATTTTCAGAGGATAAATCAGATGAAAAGTCCTGAATTTCATGCTCTTGCAGCTCAAATATTAACCTGAGAGTAGCTTCGGCATCTGGATCACCTTCAATAATGAAACCAGCAAGTCCATAGTCTGTTTCACGCATTACATTACGGTTCAGATTTCCATATGATAAATTTTCGATTTCTTTAGGTAGGTCACTATATTCATTGCCATCTAAATCGCAGGCATTATTAGGTTCATTCTTCTGTCCATCTAATTTGAAACTGTATTCAAGAAACTTTGCAACAACGTTTAACGTTCGATTAAGTAGGAACAAGTCATCAGTTTTCAAAAACTTGTAGTTGCGAATATGGCAACCAATCGCCTTTAAGCAACTAGAAAATAACCCAAATAAATGGAAACATTACAAACTATCTGAAGATAATCCGTAGCTATAAGGAACTTATTTTTAATTCCGGAGTTGGAGATAATTTACTTTTCAAAAGAGAATAATAAAATCACACAAGATTGACTAATCATTGCTAACTCCTAGTCTGAGCCATTTTGGTAGATGTAAATGACTTGGTTGGGGTCCACGCGACTATCGCAACCAATGGTTGGAGACTCTGGGCGATATGGCTCAGAATCGATCACAATCGCATGGGCGTAGTTACTCTTTGTCTTCCCTTAAACTGTGAGATTAAAATTACTTTATAATTTTCTTTCTACGAACTAATTCTTTCTCGCTGTATTATATCCTTACATGCAATCATATTTTGTATATATTACTGCCATTGAAGTAACTGCTCCCATGAATTAGGTATGAGGTATGGCAACTTAGACTGATGTATATATGTGCCTGTTTCCACGTTGTAGATGACTGACTAACTGAATCATCACTATAAACCTGTTTTAGAACTGAACAACAACCAATTACTTTACCAATAGATTTTATAGTGTGTGTTAAATAAAAACAGAAGTCCAAATGCTCTTGAACTAGAGAACGATTAGTAAGCTGGCAATAAGACGTAACTATTTTGACAATAAACAAGCACTAACAGCTAGATGTGGTCATGACCACCTCAATAACTATCAACTGAGAATAAAGCTACTCAAAATGTACAAAAGTTAAAGCTAAGAATAACTGGCTCGCATTTTAATACAAATAAAAAAGTTGATAACGAAAGACTAGGTTCTGCTCCTAGAATAGTTCACGTGAAAAGAAGTGAGTTTGATAAGTGTTTGAAAATTTTTTGCTTCGTCCGTAATAGCTTAAAATGGTCATATCATTTGTAAAGCCTATAATTCAAATAAGTTGCCTAAATTTCAGCTAAATCATTTTAAGTACACACTAAATTCAGTCGCTGCTGTGAAAATTATAAATTGACGAAATAAACTATCACTCTGCAACTCATCCCTGCCCTTTAACTGCAGTGAGAAGTCCAGTTTGTATAAAAGCTTTCTTGAATCGAAGCCCCCAGAAGATTTTTCGTAAGGAAATGACATCCTTATGAACAGAATATTCAGAAAAATAAACATGATAGAATTTCATAAAAGACTGGATGAAATTAATTTGTAGTCCACTCACTCATCAATCAAAGAAAACCTGATTGTTAGGCACAGCTTTCGTTCATCGTGTCATAATGTGACATATCACTGTGTCAATATTACAATCACAAGTTCAGATGCTATTATGATAGTGTCAGCAGTTACATCTATTTTCATATATTTGATTTCAATTCGTTTTCTGCTAAAATCAGGCCTCATATAAAACTTACCTGTAGTTATAGGACTGGTATATATTTCCTTGATTCAGGTTACACATAAATGTAAAAACTTAAACGACTGAACCTGGTAAGAAGTACGAATCAGACATACGATCATTAAAGTAGGGGAGTGTTAGGTCACTAAACAAGGTAATGACAAACAAATATTTGATTCTATAAACGACGTTTATATCTTTCTCTAAAAAATTAAGTATGACTCACCAAGACAAACGATAGCCTTTAATATCATACTGAAGTTTTGTTAGTCGACGACACGGTGGCTTAAAAACGATTTTCCTCCACAAAACAGGAGATTGAAACACATTATACCACTTTTTACACACACGAGCAGCTCGTGAACGTTCATTCCAATTCAAATAAATAAAAATTTGCTCTAGGATTGAATCCGGTATATTTATCATTAATTAGGTTAAGCTTTATTTTTCCTTCAGAAAACAAATCTAAAACAGCCAACAAAATGTCCGACTTGGCCAAAACTTTTGGACAAGTAGTATTTGGGAAGAGTACCGCTGAAGTCCAATGACATTACAAAGGTGTTACGACAACTGTATGGTATCAATAAACTGAATGTAAATGAAAAGAAATAAATACAAAACTCAGGAAATTATTAACGCTTGAAATATTTAGATGAAACCTGAAAGTAAATTGTATACTGAAACATGTCACACAAATCTCTTTCATAAAAATCGAAATGAATCGAAAACAAGTACCATCGTTTATACCTTACAAACTAAGTACTATGTCAAAATCACTTGTCCATTGATTCAGAAAATATATTTGATACATAACTCTTATACACCTAAACTACTGAATAGCTATCTGCCCATAAAATGGAGATTTCACAAGCAGACTAAAAGCTAATAGAGAATAGTAGCCGATTTCAAGGACATAGAGAAAAGATCTATGGAAAAAATTACACGAAATATACATGACTGTAATAGCTAAACACATATCACTATACCCTAGTGGAGCAAAATACCATGTTATTCGGCCATAATCAACGTAGAGTCGGCATAAACGTGTACTGGACCAAAACGAACACATTAGCACAATGAAATGAAAGTAACAAGATGAATAACAAAAAAATCGAAGCAATCCAGTAGAAATTGTAATTATAAGAACTAAGCATTGGAAATATGATTCGGGATGACAAGAGGAAAGTATAGGCATGAGATGCTGGAAAACAAAGTCCAGAGGAAGACAGGGAATCCATATACTTGAGCTATTTTGACATATTCCAAGTCATGCTATTTAGCACCTTTAATCAATCATCGACGTTGTTGCGCGGGCCGCAACCAGAAACTATCTGACTAATTGACGTCTTTAGAACTTGCAAATTTGCAAATGAGCTTAAGATCACTTTTAATGTGAAAACAGTAAATTATGTAAAAATAAGTAGCGGTTTTTACCAACCAATTTGCCACGACAGATTGCTCGGATATATTATCACTGTATGTAGACAGTTCAAAAAGATTGACAACAATTGGCTTAAATTCACTAACAGAGGTTGAAAGGCATTCATTCAGTGATTTACACATTCAATCTTTCAGACATATTTCATTGCGACTTCTACAATAAGCCCTTTGTTTATCTGGCAAATAGTGTTATACATTGTGTTGCGCCATTTTCTTTACAGTCGGCTATAAACTGAAAGTCATGGAACAGGAAATAATGCAGTTGACTGATGTCAGAATAGAGAAAAATGTTTCCTTACAGCAACTGATAGGAGTGTCAGTGCTTTCTGTCAACCGAAAAACGATGCAAAACAGATTAGTGAGGCATGGAAGTCACTTGTGGTATTTAGACAGCGAAATTTCGCTTAAGTTTTAAACCATATTGGTGCAATTTTTTTCAGTCGATGTCCAGAGTGGACAAATAAACGTTAGTAGCCTTTAATTCTATCCTACAATTACCTATGGGCAATAGTAAACCGTAATCGTAAGACCACGACTCACTGACGTGTAGTCACAACTAAACGGTTTTGGACGATACATGCATTGGTGGGTTTTTGCCCAGTTAGATACGACTATGTTTACCACGATCTACGAAATGCTAGTGAGTTATGAGTTAGAAAACTGTGAACGGGCAGTAAGTACCCGTGGTGAGACTACAGTTTATGGGTGACCTGTAAAGTAGCACGAAATGCACTTGTAGGATGGGAATCCCACGGATCCAGAATCATCAAAGCATCATTCAAAACAAAGAAGGAGGGGATCTTAATGAATATTATCCAATGTTATGCACCCACCAATGATAGCAACGACGACATTAAAGATCAGTTCTACGAGCCGCTGCAATCAATCATTGAGAAATGCCCAAGAAAGGACCTCACCATTCTAATGGGAGATCTAAATGCCAAAGTCGGAATAGACAACATCGGATATGAAGATATTATGGGGCAACATGGACTGGGATAGAGAAACGAAAATGGAGAAAGATTTGCAAATTTGTGTGCATTCAACAAATTAGTCATAGGAGGCACAATATTTCCACACAAGCGTATACACAAGGCTACATGGATCTCACCGGACCACACTACAGAGAACCAGATAGACCATATTTGCATCAACAAAAAATTCCGAAGGACAATGGAAGATGTGAGAACCAGGAGAGGTACTGACGTAGCTTCAGATCACCACCTAGTTGTAGCCAATTTAAAACTGAAGCTAAAAAAGAACTGGACAAGTGGACAAACAGCAATACAAAGGTTCAATACAGCCTTCCTTCGAGATACTGTCAAACTCAATGAATTCAAGATAGCTCTCAACAACAAGTTCCAAGCCTTACAAGATCTACTGAAAGAAGAAGAAACTACTATGGAGGACAACTGGAAAAGCATTAAGGAAGCATTAACTTCAACGTGTCAAGAGGTTCTCGGTCTAAAGAAATACCATCATAAGGAATGGATCTCTACAGAAACACTGGACAAGATCAAAGAAAGGAAGAACAAGAAGGCAGCAATAAACAACAGCCGAACACGAGCAGAGAAAGTCCAAGCACAAGCTGAATACATAGAAGCAAACAAGCT